ATCCCATCAAGTACATATTCGAGAAGCCAACTCTCTTCGGAAGAATGGCCCGATGGCAAATGTTCTTAACAGAATATGACATTCAGTACACCACTTAAAAAGCCATAAAATGAAGTGTACTGGAAGATCATTTGGCACATCAAGATGTAGACGACTATCAGTCTATGAATTTCGAGTTCTTAAACAAGAACATTATGCTAGTAACAGATTATGAAGAACCTAGACCGTATGAAAGACTAGAGCCAGGATCCCGATGGACTATGATTTTCGCCAGAGCTTCTAACACACTTGGCAACAAAATCAGTGCTATAATTATCTCTCCTCAGGGTTGTCATACGCCCTTCACTATCAAACTTTGCTTTGAATGCACCAATAATATGGATGAATATGAAGCGTGCATCATGGGTCTTAAAGATGTTATTGACCTAAGAATCAAGTTCTTAAGCGTATATGGGGACTCAGTCCTGGTGATCAGTCAGGTCAAGGGAGAATGGGATACGAAGCATCTGAATCTTATCCCTTACCGAGAACATGTGCTAACCTTGATTCCACATTTCGAGGAGATTACTTTTGAGCATATACTAAGAGAAGAGAATCAGTTAGCGGGCGCTTTGGCTACCATGTCATCCATGTTCAAGGTCAGATGGGACAATAAGGCTCCCAGAATTACCATTGAAAGATTCGATGAACTGGAACACTGCTATGAAATTGACACTAATGGAGTAGAGGAAAAACCTTGGTTTCATGAAATGAAAAGGTACCTTGAAGCTCAAGAATACCCAAAAGGGGCATCAATCAATGACAAGAAATTCCTACAGAGGTTCTCAGCTAAGTTCTTCTTGAGAAATGGAATTTTATACAAGCGTAATCATGATTTAACTATGATTCATTTTGTGGACAAGAAGGAAGCAGAAGAAGTTATGGAAGATATGCACGAGTGTATCTTTAGTACTCACTCTAGCGGGCATACTATGGCTAAAAAGATTCTCAGAGTAGGTTACTATTGGTCGACCATGGAAACCGACTGTCACCACCACTCGAGAACTTGTCATAAGTGGCAAATCTATGTTGATAAAGTTCATGTGCCTCCAGTACCTCTAAACGTCATGACAGCTCCGTGGCCATTCGCAATGTGGGGCATTTATATGATCGGAGAAATCAAGCCTACTGCCTCTAACGGACATCGCCTCATCCTCGTCAGCATTGATTACTTTACAAAATTGGTTGAAGCAGCTTCATTTTCCTCCGTTACCAAGAATTTCGTTGCTAGGTTCATCAAACATAACCTAATTTGTTGGTACGACATCCCCGAAAGGGTTATCATAGACAATGGTAGCAACCTCAACAACACTATGATCACCAAACTCTCCATGCAGTTCAAGATCAAGCAACACAACTCTTCTCTGTATCGACCAAAGATGAATGGCACAGTGGATGCTGCAAATAAAAACATAAAGAAGATTATACAAAAGATGGTTGTGACCTACAAAGACTGGCATGAGATGTTACCATTTGCTCTCCACGCCTATCTCACTTCGGCTAGAACATCAACTGGGGAAACCCCATTCTCTCTGGTTTATGTTATGGAAGTTGTCCTACCTATCGAAGTTCAAATTCCTTCTCTGAGAATTATGAAAGATGAAGACTTAGACGGAGATGAGTGGATTCAGACCAGGCTAGACCACCTGAACCTAATTGACGAGAAGAGGCTTGCGGATGTCTGTCACAGTCAGATGTATCAGAAGCGTATGATCAAGGCGTTCAACAAGAAAATCAAGAATCGGGTATATCAGGCTTGTGACTTGATAATAAAGCGCATCATTCTACAACAAGGTGATTCCAGGGGAAAATGGACTCCCACCTATCAAGGGCCATTTGTAGTTAAGAATATTTTCTCTGGAGGTGCTATGTTATTAACGACCATGGACGGTGAAGATTTCCTGCACCCTGTGAATGCGGACATAGTTAAAAGATACTACGCATGAAAATGACCCGCTAGGTTGACTGGCCTAGGAAAAGATAAGGGCATCCCGATGAACCAAAAGGGTTCGGGCAAAAATTAGGGATATATATAAAATAGTATACACCCGGCAAGTCGACAACCCGAAAAGGAGGCTTGGGCAAGAAAGGGTATCCCGGTGGACTGAAAACCCGAAAGGACGGTCCGAGAAAAACTTAGGGATTAAAGTGTATGACTATATCCCCATCGAATCACTTACATCAAGCTTTATTACCAATGTCGAGTTCAAACAGTACTAATCAATTCAATCACTTTCTTCTGACATCGAGGGATGAGATGCTTGAAAACATAGGGGAAATTGCAAAGTTGGAACCCAACGAGATCATTTCCACATAGTTATTATCTTGTTTACACTTTGTACCTTTTCCATTTCACGACAATTATCCGTTATTGAGATCTCTATCTCTTTGTACAAAATCTCCTATTTATGGGCAAAACTATCAATAAAAATACAAACCTCAAAATTCAAACTTTTTGTTTTTACTTTTTTTGTTTTATTTGCAAAAATGTCCAATGACTAAAATTGAATGAACATGTGCATATGAATATGATTAACTATTAACAAATATATGCATAAAAACAGGAATAAGTATTTACTTAAGACCCTAGGAGTGGGGATAACAATCAACCTATCCACAAATCCTCGCAGAGCCACTTCCATGGGATTATCCCCACAGAGTAGTCTAATCATGCTCACCAGTAAATTCCCCAAACGGTTAAAGTATGATCTTTTTCCTAATAATATTTCCCTCTCACGGAGTCCCAATCGTTACAGTTTATGGAAAATCTCTACCCCAGCTGAGTTCATTCCTTCAGAACTATAAATCCCCTATAAATTTCTTTTCTCCAGCAGAGCTCATTTCCTCAGCAAAGGTGTTTCCTCAACAAAGTATTCTTCCGTCAACAGGGTTTATTTCCCCAACAGGGTTTATTTCCCCAACAAGGTTTATTTCCCCAACGGAATTCAGTCTCCCCAACTTGAGTCTGCTTCCATCACAAATCACCGACAGATTTCCACTTCCAGTAGAGGATACTCCAGGTTGCTATCCCCAGAAAGTTTGCTACTGAACCTGAAACCGGATTAGGTATCATTCAACCTTATTCCCTCAAACGAGTCAACATCCAGCCCATCTCTTTTATTCCCAATCAGGGTATTGTAGCAGTGAAAATTGGAGATCAAGCTATTAATTAACTTGACTCGCAAATAAGCAAGAGTCGCCACCGCGCTTTATTATTTTCAAGGGAAAAGGGAAAAGGGAAAAGAGCGAAATAAAACCCTTAAATATGCAATGTAAAGTAATACTTAAAAGTAATGAAAATACAATGCGTTTTTTGAAAGAGATCGAGAGTTTGGGGGTTTGTTGTGCAGTGGGAAGGTACTAGCACCCAATGCATCTACGGTATTCCGCAGGAACCTTTTGAAATATTTGTTTTTTAAAATTATTTGTTTGATTAAAAATGGTTTGTTTGGTCAAAAATGGGTGTGGACGAGATTTTAAAAATGCGACGACCTAATGTCGAAGTTTTGACTTAAGAGGGGTTAAGTTTAAAATTGAGTTTTTTCAGGAGATTTGTCTTAAAATTGACGAAATTAAAGAAAGTATGAAGGATTTCGCACAATCGTATAAGATGTGTTCGAGGACATGAAGTCAACAAATTTAATTGTCTCCTTTGGAATAAATCGAGCGAGAAAAAATAAAATGGACATCAAAATATAAGCAATCGAAAGCTCACAAGAAAATAAATCTAACGAAACAAATTAATGACAAAAAGGCCCTAAGAAATTAAAATGACAAAGATATTAAAATATAAATAAAAGAGAATGGAACTAATTATCTAAATTAAAATTTTAAGATTACTTACCAAAATAATTCTAAATTAATTACAAATTTTAAGGTTATAAATATAATTCTAACATTACTAAATTAGATCTAAACTAAATTAAAATTCTAAGATTTTTAAATTAAATCTAAAACTAATAAAAATTCCAAAGATACTAAAATAAATCTAAATTAAATAAAAAATTTAAAGTTATTAAATTAAATCTAAATTAAATGAAAATTCTAAAATTATCAAAATAAATCTGAATCAAGTTAAATCTAAATCAAATAAAATTCTGAATTTATTAATTTAAATCCTCATTTTATTTTAAAGGTACTAATTTAAATCTAAATTAAGTTAACTATAAACTAAAGATTAAAATTCTAAGACTGTAATAAAGTTAACAAAATATGTCTAAACTAATTAGAAGTTCTAAAGTTTCTAATTTAAATCTAGCTAACTTAAAAATTATAAAATTATTAAGTCTAAAACTATTCTAAATAGTTAAAATTATAAAATTAATTAAAACATAGTTATTTGATTAAATCTATAAAAAAAACTAAATTAACTAAACTAATTAAAACAAAGGGGTGTAAAGCAGAATATAAGCGTGCAAAAGATATCATTTTCGCTGGGCTGAAGGTGGGAAATAGCAGACCCAAGTTATGATAAGAGGGGCATATTAAATAAAATATATACAATTGGACTTGTAGTAAAATTGATTGGGGGTAAGCTAGAAATTCGGACCTTGGTGCAAGGCCCAATTATCTGTGGTCCAGGAGGTTTTTGTTATATCAACTTCAGGTTTTAAAACAAAATGGTCATGTAAGGCTTAAGGGAATGGCACAAGGCCCAACTGATTGAGTCCAAGAGCTTTTTATGTTAAATCAATAATCAACTATTTCTTATTCATATTTTTATTATACTTAATGACCCTGATAATTCAAATTATTATTAACAAATTAGAAATAAAATTTTAAACAGAGAATGTGTATATATGGCGTGAAATTAGGGTTTAGAATTGGGACTCACTAATTCCCTTCAAATTCAAAAGAACCAGCTTCAAACTTCCTCTACCCTTCACTCTGTTGTTATCCCTTGCCGTGCTCCAGGCTCTTCTTTCTTCAATCAATCAGGCGATGTTGTTGTAATAGTAGAGATGGAAAGCCAGTTTCGATTGGAGAGGGGACGGTGCGGCGGTGCTCGAACGGGAGCGGTGCCGAAAAAAAATGTTTTAGGTGGTCGACGCGAAAAAACGAGAACAAATGGAACTCGGGTACGTTTCCTCTTAACTTCCTTGACTCAGTCTTTACTTTCTTCTTCTTCTTCGTCTGTCTACTTTTTCATATCCTGCAGGTGTTGTTGATGGCACGAATTTGTTGATTCCACGATAGTAGCTTGATTTACTGAATCGGAAGAGAAGTTAGTGAATGATGGTGAGTCTGTGTTAACTTGGAACAAAATTTGACGGTGATGTTGGTGTTCTGGAAATCATTTAGCAAATGTTCAGAGAGTCTTCGATTAGATGAGGCATGGCTGAAACCAACATATATGCTTAATGTAAGTTCTCTAGGTTTGTAATGTGGCTCATCTGTCTTATGCACTCCATCTCCAGATTAATTTCTTTTGTTCCTTTATTAACTTGAATTACATCACTTTGAACAAAATCTATGGCCATTGCAAACCTGCCCAATGAGCTTTCCATTATGCCAATTCGGATTTTGAGTCCTTCACTTAAGTGGTTTTTTTATTATCTACAGAGTTCCATTTCACAAGGAGATTGGATGAAGATCTTGAGTTGTGGTATTTTAAAGTGAATATTAGTTATAGAAACTGGAGAAGATTTGTGTAATTCTCAGATATAACAGGTGGTGGGAGTTGAAGTTGGGAATTCGGTTTCGAGTAGATACGGCGGAAGTGATGGTAATTATGGATGTGAGTGAGATTGCTAGCGTCGGAAGTTGGGCGAAGATGGCATAGGTTCCTACGTTAGCAAATGAGGCGTTGAAAGAGATGATGGAAGTAAACGGCACTGTGACGAAGGGGGTTATCGGACGGGGATGGAATTACAAAGGGTGTGAGAGGGTGTTTGAAGAACAAAGGTAGACGATGATGGATATTAACTAATGGTGTTATTTATGTGGGGTTTCATCAAAACAAGGTTTACATCATATAACAATAGCAACAAAATTATAGCATGGTAACTAATTGACAGCAAATAACAATGGCATGGCAAAGAAACAACGACACAACAAAGTATGCTTGTAAAAAAGAAGGACCCACATGGTCGGAGCTAGTCTGACGGTTTCGTGTCCGGCAATAGATCAAGAAGACCAGAGGTATGCTCCTTTAATTTGAAGTTTGATAATGTATTGAACAAATTTTATTTTTTCTGTGAAAGCCGTAAACTGTTGTTATCTTTGAGTTCGCAGGATGAATTTTGGTGTTGATTGCAGTTTTTTGAATAAAGATTAAGATGTGTTGACTTGGTTTTGAGTAGAGATAAACTGAGATTGGTGATCTCTATGCAAAAAAAATTTCTTAGGAGAATTTTTGTGCATTTCTATGCTGATTATTGTGTGAGATTTCTATCTCTAAAAAATCCTCCTCCCTACTGATTTTTGTGTATTTATAGTGAATGAAAAATCAGAAAATTGGTGGGAAAAAGGCTGAGAGTTTAATACAATTGTTACACTATCTTCATAGCTTTTTTGGGAGTTTTGTGTTATTGCTGATTTAGTATAATGTTTGGCTGTTTTTAGTACTAGTTTTTTTTGCAGGATTTAGGGGCAGCATAGAGGCTATTTTTTGGCAGGTTTGTGGGCAGAATTGCAGCAGGTTTTGGACTATTGGAGCAGTAAGAAAGTAGCATAATTTTTGCAGCATAGTAGCAGAATTTTGGCAGCATAGGGATGCTTTAGGAGCAGGGTCTCTTGGACTGTTTCTGTAGAATTTTTGACTTGTTGTGGCAGCAAGACAGTAGCATATTGATAGGGAAACGTGATTGTTTTGGTGGTGGTTTAGCAAAGTAGAATTTTGGGCAAGGCACCAAGTTGATATGTCTTGAAGATTTCATGTAATTTTAGCACTTTAAGACTTAAGAATTCATGTGTTTGTGTATGATTTTATAATGAGATATGAAATGGTGATGATTTTGTAATGGAAGTATTTTGTAACCTCTTGAATTCACATGAATGAAAGTATGAATCTTGAATGAAAATCTTGAATAAATTCTACACCAAATGATCTTGCTCTCTTAATTTAATCTCTAGTCCGAATTGACACACAATTTGATTCCAATTAAAATTTGTGTCGAAATTTGTCTTTGAATTTGAAATGCATGAATGATGAATGAAGTTGAATTTTGAGAAAGGTCTTGAATAATTCTTGATATTTTGAATAATTCACATTAATGAACTTGCACTCTAAAATAATCCTCGAGAAATTGGAATGCATCTTACTCAAGACATCAAATTCATAAACCTTCTTGAATCTCTCTTGCAAATAAGAACCCTAATGTTATTTGACAAACTTGGATATTTTGGCTTTATGGTATTGGTTACTTGAAAGAAAAATTCACAATAATGAATCCAATCTTGATTCAAATCTCAAATCCAAGTTAGCTTGCAAACCACAATAATTTGAAGAATTATCAACCCTAACTCGCGTCTTCACCTCATAGTAATTTGCAATATAGACCAATAGCGCAAATCGTGCCTTTAAGAAATTTAATCGACAATCCACCTTAATTCAATGATCGCTATAGTTCAATTGCTAAATGACTTGATGTAGTCCATAAGCAATCAAAGAATCATTGGACTAAAGCTCCAGTTTCATGAATTGTCCCAACAGAAAAATAAAATGTTCTTGAGAAAACGTCTGTGGCATGACTTGAACCTTAATCTTTGAATTAATCTCATAAACAACGCTATTTGTGATAATTTGCAAAAGAATCACCTCAGGACGTTGAAAATTGAAGAAGTTATGATCGTTTGAACTTGAACTTGCAAGAGTTGACTTTTGGTCGAAATGTTTTGAATCGACTTGCAAACTTGATCTTTCTTTGCATTCTAAAGAATCTTGATGCACGTGTAAACCAGTGATGATGAAATATTGACTGTGCTTTAGGGAATTTTGGAAGAAGCTTGAGACCACTTATCGAACAAGGCATGGAAATAAACACACAATCCTCTGAAGATCCTTGAGACAGAAGTTATCACACTTGAAACATTTGTGATCAAAATAAGCCTGGACAAAGCTTTAGAAGTTGTGTCTTAATGAATCAGTCTTCGAGAATCAATAATCAATTGTACTTCTGGTTTGAGGGACTCAAAACCCTAATTGAGGCGCAACGCTTGATGTCCTTGATTTAGACTTGTCTCTGCACATGAAATCAAAGAAACAAAAAACACACACTTCGTGCTTGATTAGAAGTTAGTGATACATAGGCTAAGACTGTTCAAAATACTTGACAATTTCTGCATAGTCAATGCTCGAAGGTGAGAGGTTAAAACCGATTGTATTTAGTGACCTTGACTTCTGTACAAAAATTCAAAAAATAAAAATGGGATCTTAGGTCAAAAATTGGGGTATGACATGTATACAAGGACTAAATTCCCCAGTAGAGCAATGAACGACTGAGATTCTTGAACTCTTCTCCCCAAACAAGAATCAACATCCTCCAGCAGAGTTTCCTCAAACAGAAAGCAGGAATCCCCATCAAGATCGAATATACACATATTCTTTATCCCCGGAAGCACTCATGGATTTATTTTCTAGACAAAGATGTTGTTCGAGTTTACAAATACACTTCAATAACATTTCGCATTCATACATCATTTACAAACGTCATAGCATATGCATACGAAACGCATATAACACAGTCTCATTTATTTTGAGAAAATCATTACACAATGCATTTCATACATCATGACATTGCATACAACTAACTCTTTACCTTTTCAGGAAAGAATCAGTCAACAAACAAACCTCACCAACTACTTGTATGACCAGACAGTCTTCTCAAAGGCTACATCTGGAAAATGGCTACTTCAGTAATTGCCTCAGAAGGTCATTCTCAAAGACAATATCTTCTGGCTTAGTTTAAATTGAGCATAGATTTATTCGGATACTTCTTCCCGTCGAAGACGGTCGTGAGAATCTTCTGGCTCAGATTAAATCAAGCATAGATTTATTCTGATACTTCTTCCAGTCGAAGAAGATCGTAGACATTTTCTGGCTCGGTTTAAATCGAGTGTAGATTTATTCTGATACTTCTTCCAGTTAAAGTCGTATGTAAATATCTTCTGTCTCAGTTTAAATCGAGTGTAGATTTTTCCTGATACTTCTTCCAGTTGAAGATGGTTGTGAGCATTTCTGGCTCAGATTAAATCAAGCATAGATTTATTTTGATACTTCTTCCAATTGAAGATGATCGTAGATATTTTTTGGCTCAGATTAAATCAAGCATAGATTTATTCTGATACTTCTTCCAGATAAAGATGAGCGTCGATATCTCCTGGCTCATATTAGATTGAGCGTAGATCTATTCTGATACTTATTTAAGTTGAAGACGGTCGTAGATATTTTCTGGCTCAGATTAATTCGACCATAGAATTATTATGATACTTCTTCCAGTTAACTTCGAGCCTAAACATCTTCTGGCTTAGATTAGATCGATCGTAGATCTATTCTGATACTTCTTCCAATTGAAGACATTTTCTAGCTCAGATTAGATCAAGCATAGATTTATTCAGATACTTCTTCCAGTTAAATTCGAACATAAACATCTTCTGGCTCAGTTTAATTCGAGCATAGATTTATTCTGATACTTTTTCCAGTTAAAGACAGGCGCAGACATCTTCTGGCTCAGATTAGATCGAGCGTAGATCTATTCTGATACTTATTCCAGTCGAAAACGATCATAGATATTTTCTGGCTCAGATTAAATCGACCATAGATTTATTCTAACACTTCTTCCAGTTAAAGTCAAGTGTAGACATCTTCTGACTCAGATTAAGTCAAGTGTAGATTTATTTTGATAATTCTTCCAGTTAAAGTCGAGCATAAACATATTTTGGCTCAGATTAAATTAAACGTAGGTTTATTCTGATACTTCTTCCAGTTGAAGACGAGTGTAAATATCTTCTGGCTCAGTTTAAATCAAGTGTGGATTTATTATGATACTTCTTCCAGTTGAAGATGGGCATATACCTCTTTTGGCTCAGATTAAATCAAGTGTAGATTTATTCTGACACTTCTTCCAGTTAAAGTCAATGGTTAATTTGGATGTCATATATAAGCCCATCTCCAACGACTCGCTATTACCTCTCCTGAATGGCATCTATAAGCCCATTCCTGGTACAA